AATTACCCATTGCATGGTATGGCCTCAAACACAAAGAGTGAAATGTTACAATTAACCCCATAGTCTGGGTTAGTTGTAACATATCCTGGGGTAAAATGTAACACAATGAAATAAGGGTACTAACAAAACATTAACATGTAATCTTTGTTTATTCAACACATGAATTCACTTACATCCATTTATGTAGCTCTGTGTGTGTGTGACAGAATGCAGAAATCTAGCTTTTGAACATATTCCAACCCCCCAAAAAAGTCAAATTATGGAATTTTCTGCAACTGAATATTTCATTAATTTTGGTTGGTCTTCCTTGAGTTTGGCCTCATTGGCTCAGTGGGCATTATAACCTACAACTCTTGCACCAATTTTGAACATAACAATGAAGCTGAAAAAATGTAGTTGTTCACCAGCATCGCAATTCCATTACTTTTATCATGGCTTGGTGTGGTTTGCAGAGTGCTTCAGAAAGATGAGGAAATCTGTTTCTTGCACCCATCCTGACTTATTTCCACTACCAGTACTTCCTACTGGTCCATCTCTGACACAGTGGTCTGCATAATGTATGTGTTGGAACACAAACAGTGGAGGAATTGTGTTGCCAATGGCATTAACCGCATATACAAAAGCGACCAGTGAACCTCTCTCTGCTGATGTCATTGCCCCAACTTGTTTAATATAAGTTAAAGTAATAGTGTGGTAAGTTGTAACATCTGCATTATTGTTACAACTAACCCAGACTGTTGCTGTTACAACTGACCCAGACTCCTATAGCCATGAACTAGCTAACATTACAGCCAACGGCTAAAACATTAGCACTAAAGACCTACACAGAATATATCCCCATAGACATACAAATAACATCATTTAAGTTTGATGAGTTTAGCTGCAAAGCAGATAATGCTATTACAAATTGAAATAAAGTAGAAAAACTTACTTTTTGGCATACAAATTACTTTTTTTCATGTTAAATTGTCTGTGTTTGACAAAATGTGCTGATTTTTCACATGTGATAGCAGAACTGAATTGGGCATGCACAGGATGAGTCACATCATTTGAAACTTAGCCCTGATTGGAGAAACTGGAAGTGTTACAACTGACCCACGTTACAACTATCCCCGGTCTCCCCTACAGTAAGTCCTACATAATGGGCAGAGATGCCCAGAAATTTTTCTACCCAGCCTCATCCTCTCGTTCTTCTGCAAATCGCAGAATGCTTTGCTGTTAACAGAATGTTACCATATTTTTGAAATACATTCAACTTTCTGTAAAATCACTGTAATGATGAATTAAATTTACACCATAGATAGATAGATAGATAGATAGATAGATAGATAGATAGATAGATAGATAGATAGATAGATAGATAGATAGATAGATAGATAGATAGATAGATAGATAGATAGATAGATAGATAGATAGATAGATGCTTTAGCTTTAAATATGCATTTTTAAGCTAAAAAGTTAAGAAATGTTTGGCATAAATCATTGCTCCCATTTTTTTTACTTAGTATAACCATCCTCTGATTTAGACACTTTTTCACATTGCTCTTGCAAAAAAAAAGTGTGTAAACTATCTTGAATAAGGACTTATGAATACTGAAAAAAGCACAATAAACCTAGAAAATTAGAGGATCAGACAACAGAAACACAAGAGAAATATCCTATATAACAATATTTCTGCAGCATATATTTCTGTAGCCTAATGAGTCAAAACGTTATGAGCAGCTAGTCTGTTGGCTACTGACCACCTGCAGTAAACTTCTATGAGAAATTATACCATGGCGCCCTCTACTGCATATCAAAACAAGTGGATTTAATATACTTAATCTGATGTGGCACAGTCTAGATTATTTACTGATTATTGAGAAGATTAAATAACAATTTTGGTTAGAATAATAGTCATGTTTATTACCAAATACCTTAAATAAGCAATATCTGACCAATGTAACATCAGTAGAGATGCTTGAAAATACTTGGAACTTTGTAACATCAATTTAAGCAATAAAATGAGACCTAAGTAAAGGAATGATGGAGACAGAAATGATACACAGAGTCAAACAATATATAAACAGAGCTAATAGGTTCAACAGTGGATTGATTGCCAGTCATCTGCATTGACTCAAAGAACGTCAGATGTTTTCAATCTGTAGTGAATTTGGTCACATTCGAATTCATAGTGGAAGTAAGAGAAAGGAAAATACTCATACAGGCCTATAGTAACTCACTAGGTCTATCAAAACCTAAAACGGGAGCATTTTTAGCTTGTTGAAATACTGTCTGATAATTCATCGTTGCTTCAACATCAACATTTGAGGAAAACATGGTCTTCACAGCACACTGAGGAAGTTTTCAGTGGCTACAGATGGAAGTAGTTACTGGGATACAAAATAAAGTAGAAGAGGTAAGAAGCAGGGGATCCAAAAAGAAAGAACAGATGTTTATTAGCAGATTAAGAACTCGATGCACTTAAAGAGTTCAGTTTTCACGAGACACTGTTATCATTTTTGGGAAACACAAACATTAAATCTAATCAGTATCTTGTGCAGAAAATACAAAGATGTAAGAAGAGATATGATTTGAGGGGCGAAGGGAGATGGGAAAAAGAGGGGATGTTTCAAAATATGCATCAATGTGGGGAATCAGTAGAGAGAATGAAGCTGATCTTTAGAAAGCATGAAAATTTAAAAGCATTTGGACTTTTGTTAAAACTATACAGAAAGCATTACGCAAAGAATAAGAATGGTGGGTGGCTATGCAGAAAGGGCCTATGATGCAACTCAAAAACATTAAGAAATCCCAACTGATGTAAAACTCTTAGATGTAGAAGAAGAAGAGCTACTCTTCAGGTGCTGTTGCCTCTAATCACCACCTTTGTTTGTATTCAGAACTATGCAAAAGTCTTGAGCCACTAATTATTTCTTCATATTTCGTCTCCAAAGAGCCAGAATTTCTTGTAATTTTTTTTTACAAGTATACTTTCTGAAGCTCCTTCAAAGTATTTTCTTTGGACATTTCACTCATTTTAGGTCCAATCCTTGTACCTGACCCGTTTTTTTTGTTTGTTTGTTTGTTTGTTTGTTTGTTTGTTTGTTTGTTTGTTTGTTTGTTTGTTTGTTTGTTTGTTTGTTTGTTTGTTTGTTTGTTAAGCCAACTTAACACTGACTGAATTATTTACGCAGAAAAATGTGCACCACAGAATTTTAAATCAATGGTGACAAAACTGATTATCATTCAGCCATCTTTTAGCTGACATTTGAACATATCCGATGTATTGTGCTCTCTGATATGGATGGGTACAGTGTTTTAAATAAATGCAGACTGGCCAAAAGAACTGTTTCTCAAAGGGTTAATACAATCATGTCAAACAGTCAAACATCTTGTCATTTGTGACTTCTACTTATCCCAGTGATAAACAGAGTAAATGCCTGTTTATGAACCATTTTCTGTACACATGACAAACATTGATGTATTTAACAAGATTTTCAAAGAGGAGTAAACTGTACTTCTGTAAAATTAAACAGTGGCGATAAAAACATGGCCAGGTAATACGTCTGGAAAGCATCTGATTGGGAACTGTTTCATTTTTCAGCAATTAAAATTAAACCACACAATGGAACATTATCAGTCCCTGACTGTCCTTTCTGGAGCATTATTGAAGCAGTGTGAGATCATCTTAACAGAACACAAAATTAAAGGAATCCACTACTTGGCAAAACAATCAAATAAACCTTTGCACAAAGATGAATAAAGAGCTAAAAGGATTTTTGCATGTAGCTCAGTCTGTTGCAACATGAGGTGTCCTGTGAGCAATTTCTGCTCTAATTAAAGCCATACAACCCTCTTTGAGTTCAACAATAATAGTTTTCCCCTGGTCTGAGAAAGCTCTGCATAGCAGGAACTGACTTATGTGATAGTAATTATACCAACAGACTTATAATCTATCCCAGTTCCTTAGAAAGAACAGTATTATGGAGGAATTTAATGTTGAAGAGGTTAAAGTGCTGAGAAGAAAGTATATATCTCTCTCTCCCTCCTTAGGTGAAAGAGACGAGCTTCAATATCCCAAATAAGATTTACCCATCTAATGAATTCTCATATCTGAGATTTAATTTGGATGTGAATAATTATGTGTTCTGTGAAAATGATATTGAAAATTAGAATAACGGTTTTCCATTGTGAATCAGTGCAGCCTCTCTGGAATAATATGTGCAGCTGGTAAGAAGATTGAATTACCACATTTGTCAGCAAAAGCAATCAGATTTTGAATGTGTGATGAAAATTGTAATTTGGACTCTCTTCGTTTTACTAGGGAAGTGTTTTGCTTTTTTTTGTTTGTTTGTTTTTTTTAACATAAATGCAAGTTTTGTATAGATTTATGGCTGGCCTTGCAGTAAACCAGCTGAAGCCTGTAGTTGAAAAATCCTTTAAAATATTTTCTTTATGGAGTGATTATAATTAATTTGACATAAGCTTTTTTAAAATATATATTTGATTTTTCTTAAAATTATTTTCTACATTAATTCATTAACTTTTTTCTTCATGATCTAATATTGTCATATAAATTTTGTTTTATGAATAATGAAAGTGGCTCTTTGGTTTCTATTTCATGGAATCCAGCATAAGAAAAATAACCTGAAAAAAAACCCCTCATAAATAAAATTCAGTGGTGGGTTGTTATCTCACAATTTTGATGTTATTTTCTCATATGTTTGACTTAGTAAGTCGAAATTTTGAATTCGACTTATTTATTTATCTATTGTTAGAAGCTGAAACATATGTAAGCTTTTTTCCCTGTATTGTAAATACAAATTAACGTGAAACTGAGAAAATAGCTTGAAATTTTGAGTTGTAGAGTCATTGTCAGAAGTTTATTATAACAACTGGAAATTTGGCTTATGAATGGCTAATAATAATAATAATAATAATAATAATAATAATAATAAAATTAGAAAACGGAAATAAAACGTCTTTTTGATTTCACCGGATATGACGTCACCCCGGCCTCTTTCCCGTGTCACCGTGAGCTGTGGTAGTCCCTGCCGCTGCTGCTGCCTGTCAACAAGACTTGTGTGTCCGGGTTTTTGTTTTTAGCCTTTTGTGACACTCTGTCTTCCACCACCATGCCCATGTACCAGGTAAAGCCCATCTGTGGGGGTGACATAAAGATTGATTTGCCCACCTGCATGTACAAGGTACCAAATATCCACGCGCAGCAAGGAAAAAGCTGCACCCCCGAACACGCGCTTCAGGTAACTAATCACATTTCGAAGTTATAATTTTATTCTTTTTATTATCATTATTATTATGATTATGATTATTAACTCTTTCGCTTGAGCTATGCTCCTCTCCCTGTTCGTTGTTTCCATTCATAGTTGCGCTTCTCGGACGCGATATTAGCTGGAGCTGTCTGTAGCCGAGCTAGCTAACTTAGCTTGTCAGGGAGTAATCTCAGTTTTAGGCTGATGCAACAACTACAGCGTGTCTCCGCTGTTTTACATCAAGATTATTAAACGGCATGCAGTAGTGAAACGGTTCGGTTAGGTCGTCTCCAGTCTGTGACATTGTTTTTAATGTAATCGATCAGGATTGTGTCTTTATTTGAGACCATTCTTCATTTGTGGGGGTGCACCGACCGTACTGTTTCATCTGCAAGTTCATGACACTGTATTGGGGAAATTGCAGCAGTCACGTTTGGTTACAAACTTAATGTTATCATAGATGTAATTATCTCATCGTTATAGACTTAACTAGGCAGCTATATACCAGCAAGTAATATTGAACCCATATTTACGTGTTACTGAATAGTCATCTTAATTAGAGATTTTTCATTTTAATTAATTTTACTGTTGGTTAATTATAGATTTTTCTTGTTTGATCATCATGGAGACATGCTATTTCAGTGGCTGGACCAGTTTAGATCCAAAATGGCCAATAGAACCAGCTGTAAACCCCCCATGGTTTGATAGTGTAATATTTTTGCTTTCACTTTCAGCATCTGCAGTGGAGCATAAACGATTCTGTTGATTCATGACTCACAGCATGGCTTTCATGAATGTATAGCATGTTTTCTTTGCACATTTCAATGATGTTTATGTGATGAGATTGAGGCCATGAAGAGAATTTGAACTTCATCTGTCCTTAGAGATTTCTGGTGTTATGCATTAACCAGACATATAAACTTGTAGTCAGACTTCAGATAGATGTGTAGTCTTTGTGTATCTTGAAAATAGCTGACTGAGTAACCACTCAGCTCTGTTTACCTCTGCAGAGTTGAGTCTCCACAACATTTTGATTGTAAAACTGATCAAAATTTAGTTTAAAAACAACAAATTAAGCATACTAAAAGTATAGCAAATTATGGGCCATTTTTTTCCTACTTTTTTTTTTTTGTCAAAGCAGCTGTTAGTAATTACTACATGGAATGACATAGGAGCTTCAAATTGGTACCATAGGTGTGCCTCATAGGAGGATAAGGGGTAGTCGCCAGTATTTGTTTGCTTTACATTAGTTATTCATGTGACTGGGTGGTTTAAGCCAGATTCAGTGTTGTTTTTTTGTTTTTTCTGTGTTGCTTCAGAATGGCGAGGTGGACCCAGCCGTCAAAGCTCTGGAGGCCCGGCAGGATGAGATCATGAGAAAACTCTATGAGCTGAAAGCAGCTGTGGAGGGCTTGGCCAAGACGGTGATGACCCCTGATGCCGATCTGGACCTGACAGTCAGCAGCAGCCTCTCCTCCCAGTGCTCCACAACCTTCAAAAACACCACAGACCTGGACACAGTACTGGGCAAGGTATAAAAAAAAAAATCTTTTTTTGTCTTTTGTTTGTCGCTACTGGTAACATTTCTTTCAAACTACTCACTGGCAGTAATTTTAACTGAATGCTTTACTGTTACTGCCTTTTCTTGCCAGTAGTAGTAATCTCTTATCCATCTTCCTGATCACATCTCCTCTGTCATTCCAGGTTTTTATACTGTTAACCTGCTCAACCTGGCTATAATTGAGTTTACCTTTTAAGCCTACCTTAGGGTATAGACTGAATATTAGCTGTATGTGCAGGCTGTAGTGGTGTCATAATAGCAGAGCCTATCTTTATGTGACCAGGATCTCGGTGCTCTCCGTGATATCGTCATAAACGCCAACCCGGTGCAGCCACCCCTGACCTTGCTGGTGCTCCACAGCCTGCTCTGTCAGCACTATCGAGTGCTCTCTACTGTCCACGTCCACTCCTCTGTTGCCAGTGTGCCACCACAGCTTCTGTCCTGCCTCGGACCACGGCACACAGACAGCTACGCCCGCCACATGTTTCAGCTGGGCTTCACCCTCATATGGAAAGATGGTGAGGTCACCTGGGCACTTTTGCACATTATAATAATAATAATAATGGATTGTTCTGAGTGTCAGATTTGAACAGTCACACATGCTTGAGGATGTTTTTCTGGTTTCTTCCAAAGAATCAGTTTAGAAATCCTACTTAGAAGTTCTAGAAAGTCAAGAACCTAAAACAGTAGTGGTCATATGTTCATTGTACATGGCCCTGTGTCCTTGCTCACTTTAATGTGCTGGTGCAAGGCAGTGCTGATACAGTTTAATTTGGATGTAATGTCTTGTGAAAGTATGTGGGTGGCTTGTTTCATAGAATTCTAGTTTTTCTAATACTATGAAACCAATTATCATACCATAACCACGTCAGGGTATTTTTAAAACAAACAAAAACAACTGCAATCAGACATAGTCTTCTGAGTAGGCGTTCAGCTACTTTATTCTTTAGTGTATAATTAGGAAGCAATGCGTCATTTATGAGATGCAGATAATGAATTCATTATCAAAAACACCTCAGTTTTCTAATGCAGTGAAGTCTGGGAATGCTGCACGCCCATATTGTGACTTACCATCAACATACTTTGCTGTTTTGTATATTTGACTCTTTACTTGAACTAGAAAAATTAGAAGCATGTCCTATTAAAACAAAAATTGTACCCATAAATCTATCAGGAAAGTGTTTACTGAGGTCAAAGATCCAGTGAGTAGTTGAGTTTTGTTCCCACAGACTCTTTTCATAGAATCTTTTTATACAGCCGCCCCCTCCTGGTCATTAGAAAGAATGTGGGTTTATGGCACTTAAGTGTTGGTTTCACTTTTTAGACCCATGCCCTACAAAAGCAGATGTTTTAATCTTTATATTGACACCATTTGTCTAAAAGTTATGACCTCATTTCTCTTCTGCATCCACAGTTCCTAAACCACAGATGAAGTTTAGCATCAAGAACATGTGTCCCATTGAGGGTGAGGGCAACATAGCACGCTTCCTCTTTAAGCTGCTTGCCCCCTATCCCAGTGACCCCGCTGTTGCTACCCTGGTGGACAGCTGGGTGGATACGGCTTTCTTCCAGCTGGCAGAGGGCAGTGTCAAAGAGCGATCCACTGTTCTGCGGGCCCTAAACTCAACTCTGGGTTCCAACCCCTGGCTAGCCGGACCAGAGTTCTCCCTGGCTGATGTCGCCTGCTACTGCTGCGTGCTGCAGAGCGGCTCGGCCTCCTCATCTCCGGCTAACGTCCAGCGCTGGATCAAGTCTTGCGAGAACCTGGGCCACTTCAGCCATGCCAAGCTCCTTCTGAAATGACTTGGGCTGTTCCAGGACCAGACACCAGATGCAAAGTGAGAGAAGGGCATTAGAATAATAAAATATATCCCCGCCATGTCTGAAACACCTCCTGATGCTTCCTTCCTTGCTCTAGCGTAACACTGAACTGACACAGATGAAGTAGAAGCACTATGGCAGATGGGTAAAGTGACTCAACGGTATTTATTTTTGCCATGATGCTATAGAGAGATCCTAAAGCTGCATTTTGCAAGGGAGGAAGAATAAGGAGATGGTATGGACAAGGGTTTGGTGATGGGTTCAATCAGTGATACTAACGGAGGTTATTAGACAAACACACACACACACACTCTACACCTTCCACCCACTTTGTGCCTAACACGACCCTGTTAAAAATGTGTGTGGTGATGGGTATTGCTTGTTGTTTTCAGAAGTAATACTTTGTACCATTCGTGTGTTTTGTTTTTCTGAAATCATTAAAACTTCTACTTTCTACTTCAAACTTTGTGCCCAGGTTTGATTTGTTGCACTGTTTGATCACTTCAAAAACCATTTCACTCCAAGTAGACAAACGGCTGGCATTTACTGAAGTGCACATCTGTGTCTAACAGGTGGCAGGAGTGACATTAAGTGATAGAAGATAATTTTCTAGCATGTCATTCATCAAGCTTATTCAGATGTTTATCATATCCAGTCAAACAGAGGTGCACTGAACCAAAAGGGCAGAAAAAAAACACACACAAGAACTCACTTCTTTGCTACAGGAATAGATTCACACCTACTACCAATTTAAAGTCAGCAACTAACCTAAAATGCATGTGTCTGGACTGCATTTTAGGGCCCCTAAACCCTGTATTGATCAGTGCATATTTTGCGTCATCCAACCACATATTAACGATACAGAAGCTGTGATTGAGCCTTTAGTACATTTACACACTCTTCCTGGGTTCTCTACAGGTACTCCCAGCTTCCTCCTACAGTCCATAAACAAAGACCCCTGAACTCAGTGCAACTCCAGATACTTCTGTTTCATTTTACTTTGCAGCAGCAAAGAATTGTTGCTTTACTCTTTAATCTACACTCCTCCAGCTTCTTTCTCTGCAATCAGTTGTGTAAGCTGTTTTTTCTCCCTATCAGAAGCTGCACTATGGAACAGAATCCCAATTCAGAAGAGAAATAGGTTTTCAGTTTTCAAGTCCGTTTAATCCTCTGTGACTGCTGTAGGCAAACTCACGGAAAATCACTCAGAGAATATATTTAGGAATAATATATCGAAGGGAAAGCAAATCCCAAGGTTTTTCAGGCTCTCTGCGGGCTGGTTTTTGCATTTTCAAAAATGTCAGGTCTTCGACAGCTCGGGTCCAGACAGAGCCTGTGTTTGCATTCTCTGACAGCCTCCTGTTGGTCTCCAGGCAGCTGTCTGACAAGACGAAAGCTCTTAGCTGACATCCGGGCACATGGCAAAGAATACACTGGGGAAATGTGCACCACTGCTTTGCATCTTCCTCGCACACAAACACACCCGGACGCATTTGAAAGTGCAATGAGTGTTTGCCGAACGCGTTTGGTGCTGCATGTAAATAAGGCAGCTGATGTCATTCTGTAACTAATCTAATTACTTGTGCCTTGCAATTGGTTTTTATGAGAGGGGGGGGAAAAAAGGCGAGACACAAACAAACAAAAGGAGAGGGGGGGGGTCTCTTCTTGTCGCTTTATATATGATATAAAATACAGACAGGAGATGCATTCTTACTGAACAGCTGTAGAAAAAAAACTGAAACTGAAAGACAAAAATCACTTCAGTTTAACCCCGTGGCTACATCAAATCACAACAACAGCACAGATAAAGATGCTTTTTGTCAGTCCGAGTGTCAGTGTCTATGATTGTCAATCAGATGTTTTATTAAGCCATTCTGGAGTGGGAGACATATGCTTTGCCAACCAAAACAGGCAGGGGGGATAAATATTAGAAAGAACATTTGGGCTAAAGTGCCTGAAATGAGATATTGTTCAGTGTTCTCCTGTGATGACTTCAAAACAATATGGTTTGATTTTGTGTCGGTTAAAAGTCTGAGACAGCCATCGGTAACCCCTTCACTCGCTGACCAGAGAGCACAGGTTGCTGTTGTATCTCAAAAGCTGAATGCGCTCGAAATAGTCGTCAGTCAGAAAGTTTCTCTGTGACGTCACCAGGTTGCCCTTCTGGCTGAAGAGACGCTGGACGGGGGCCGTGGACGGCAGGGTGGTGTTGTATTTTAGGAAGAGCTGCTTCACTCTTGGGAAGTCCTGCAGGCACTCGAGGCTCTTCCCCGTTCCTTCTACATACTTGCGAATCTCCTCCAACACCCCCCGCTGCTGGATCTGGACGGCCGGTTTCACTGAGCCGTAGCTAAAGAAGTCATCCTCAGATTCAATGGTGGACAGGTTGCGGCTGGTGTTCGCCTCGGTTACGGTGCAGGGATCCATCTGGGACGCCTCCGAGGCCAGCAGGGCGCACATCTCCTCCCTCTCGGAGGCCGCCATCCACCACAAGCGAAACTGAGGAGTGGTCGCGGTCGCAATCTTCGCTTCGGTGCTGCCAAACAGCTCCTGGAACCGCACGTCGATAGCCATTACAATGGCGTTGATGGCATCGCCGAAGTATTTTGCGGCATCCTTCTGCTCATTTAGCTTGTTCTTCAGACTGAGTACGGTTGGGATGACCAGGCCCAGGTAGCATTTCTGCTCCGCCTGGAAAAGTTCGAGTGCAAATGCGAGCGGGTGAAACACAGTCACATATTCCTTCAAGAAGGCCATCTCCTCCGGCTGAAAGCGTGGGACCTCGAGGCGAGCGCAGAGCTCCGTCAGCTCCCGCTCGCTGAGAGAGACAATCTTCTGCACGGCACAGTACTCTACGTTCCAGCGTATAACGGTGGGGACGACGAGTGCCATCTTCCCTATCTCCTCTGCCGCGTCCATCCCGACCTGGAGATGGTGGCATTTGCTCCATATGGCAAACACTTTAGCCATGGCACTGTAATGTAGCTGGCACATGGGCCCCTGTGACACAGCCTGCCAGAAGTCATCAGTGACGATCTGCTCCAAGGTGTGTGACGCGCAGCGCTGCACGGTGGGCAGAAACAGCAGCATGTCCTGCTCCGGCTCACCCTCGAGCACGGTGCTCACGTTCTCGTAGAAACCGATGTCGTCGTCACTTTCTTGGCTGTCCAGCGCAAACTCCCTGAAGACACTGATGAAGGGGCTGCCGTTATCTGTGACTGTTGTCTGAACTTTACTCTCAATATTGTAGGCCACGTGGACGTCGTGTATGCGGCCGGCGATGGTGTCATACGTGATCCTGCCCTGCAGCCGTGCAAAAGCCAGGGCGGCGGATTTCCTCTCCAAAGAATCCATATCGATCCAGTGACAGGTCATCCCAAAGAAGCTCCTGTTGTGGGCTGTCCAGATGTCCGCTGTGGTGCACACATACTGGACGCTGCTGAGCTTAGACATCAACTCTTCCCGCATCTTGGAGAATCCATGGTCCACCTTAGTAAACAGGGTCACCCTGTCCATGGATTTGAGCCCTTCAGTTAAACCGGCAATCAGCTTCCTGAAGCCAGGCTGCTCCAGCACATAAAATGACTGGCAGTCCTCCACAATGAAGTTGAAGATCAGATCATCGATCTTTGCCTGGGTCAGGCATTTGGAGATGATTTCCGCTTTGAGCTTTTTGAGCTGGCAGTGTCTGCTTTCCTCACCGTTGTATTCCTCTTTTTTCCGTCCTCTCTTGGCATCAGGCCTGGCTTCACAGCCTAAATGTGTTCTCTAGAAAACAAAGAAAGATTTCATGGCAGTTGTTTTTTTTCTTTAAACAGACTTTCCCAACATTTTATAAACTTTAATTGCACTGAAAAACACTCCTAAGAACACTTCTGCAGAGTAAAGCGACTGTTTGTGTTTTTTTTCTTTCCAGAGAAGTTGAGCACTACGAGCCTCCAGCGCCTGTAGCATGCAGCTGCAATGTAACGTTATTAATCACGAGGGTGGCTATTCATTCATTGAGTCTTTTAAACATTAACAAACACTGGAACGGGAAGTTGTACCGGGGCTGTTAGGCTGACTGACTTACGTCTAAATGTTTCTTTAGATTTGAAGTGGAGGTTTTTGACGTGGACAGCAGATTAACCCTCGGCAAGCACAGATTACACTGGACGATGATATTTTTCCCTTGATCTGCCTTGTACGTGAAATGGTGTCGATAACGCCAAGTATTAATGGCCGATTTGGTCTCGCCGCTGGTTTCTTGGTGATCCGCATCCATTTCGAATTCTGTCTCTGTTGTTACTGGTACCTTGAAATATAATAAAAGTATCGTAATCCGATTTAGTAATCGTGATTACACGTAAAGTAACGATGGCGGTAGAGCAATCCTCATGAAAAAGGGGCAGGCCTTTGTTCAGATGCTTCCCAGAAAACGAAGAAGGAGACGACAACACCGTCAGCTAGCTTCCCCACATGCGCTCTGAGAGCAGCAACGGCAAAGAATGGGAACACTGGCGGAAGTACGCATGCGCCATACCCAAACGAGTCCCATCAGAGTGTCGTCACTGTCCGCTCCTTGTACGTTTGATTGCGTTGACTGTGGCGCTTTCACCAGCAGTTCCTTTTCCCCTCTGTGTTTCTGCGAGTTGGCGCCACCACCAGGCAGCAGACGTAAGAAACGACAAACGACGCAATCAATGGAGACATTGTTTCAAAGACCGAATATATTAAATGAGCAAGCAGTTACAGAAAATAACCATGCGAAGAAAATTAATGGGGGAAAAAGAGAAGCTTAGAACAGTTTCCTTTTACAGCCTATCACAAGTTTCACACAGGGGATCTGAAAGGCTAAAACGACAGTAACACAAGCACAACTGTTGGATTGTTTTAGTCTGGACAGCCTTTAAAGTTGTTCAGATTCAGCGGACAGACAGATGTTCGTGCATCATTTAACGCAAAGGTATGAAGTGGTATTGAGCCCGCTTTGTTCTGACTTTTAACTGAGTCCCATTCGTTTCCACACCGCACTTTCAGTTTTTAGGTGCATATTTCTAAACAGCGGTCAGTTTTTCTTTTCTGTTTTTTTTTATTTGTACATTTTTGTTGTACAGGTTTATACTTTAGTGTCATTCTCTTTCTATTGTATTAGTGTTTTTATCATATTCCTTCAGCAGCTGGAAAGGTGGCCGTCCTCCCTGAGCTTGGTCCTGCTCGAGGTTTCTTCCTGTTAAAAAAAACTCTTGCCAAGAAGGGTTGCACGATTCTTGGGGGGGTGGGGGGCTCTAATACCGCGGGGTCTTACCTAATAGTATAAACCACATTCAGGGGACTATTGTTACTAATTGACTCTATATAAATGAACTTGAATTGTTAGCTTTACAGTTGGCTGTGGTGTGCAGCTATGTAATGTTAATGTAATATAAAATCTTTAATCCCTGAGAGAACATAGAAAAAATGTATTAAATTTACTGAGAAGCAGGAAACATTACATTTTAAATTAAGGAATGCATCAACTTTCTTTCTGTGTTTTAACGAGGTTATGGAGCACTTTCTTTTCTTTTCTTTTCTTTTCTTTTTTTAAAACATTTGTTGGCATTTTATTTATTTATTTATTTTTAAATTTCTAATTTAAATTTATTTATTTTTTCACAAATCATGGTCACAATACATAATGAAAACGTTGCCATTATACAAAAAGAGAGAGAGAGAGAGAGAAATTGAGCACTTTCGTGACATAATAAAATAAAACAACTCATGACACAAATAAATACTCTTCATTTGCTTTATAATACACACTGCTGGCACACATGGAAATTATATACAACCTGGCCAAACAATCAGACAATATGCTGTTTGTTACGGCTCTCTTTACTGGCGTTTCTGTTATTCTTTCGTTTATCTGAGCATAACAACACAAACTCCTCTCTGTATAATGCAGCGCAGTCCATTGTCGCCATAAGTCTTTTGAAATGACCACAGAGTTTATTCAGTGCTTTTCCCAAGTTGATTTCATTCATTCATTAAGCAGCATATGGGAACGTAAAGACACACTTGTACCGAGTTTGTGTAATATGGAGAATAAACTATTCTGAACACAATTGTTCATTAAAACAAATGTGAGCGCTTGCCTTACCTGCCTTGATTTCAGCACCATCAAGAGTTGTTTCATTCATTCATTCATTCATTCATTCATTCATTCATTCATTCATTCATTCATTCATTCCCATAAGCCCTATGCATCTTGCCAGTTCAAGCCATCCAAGCAGCATGCTCCTAAAATGTTTTCCTGCTGATATAAAAAATCTTCCATCTGGAGATGCATTGAGCATGTCTTTCATTCGGTGTTGACTCTGTGGGCTCAGTGGCTTTTTGGGGGCAAGTCCAATTAACCAATTTGTCGGGTGCATGATCAAAGTCAGAAGCAGCGGAGGGAAAGGTTTATTTAAGGAGGTGTCATAGATTTGGTCAGTCAATACGTACTTTCTTTTCAGTTCCAGCTTCCTGCTTTCCTGTGACCGTCTTGGGAAAATCCGATATGACTCCGTGTGATTTAGAATGCTGTGTGCGCACACGCCAAGCATCTAATTGCTTTTTTAATGGTCTGCTCTGCGGGGAATTGGTTGTTTGGCAGTTGCGCACCACAGAGAAGGACCATTGTGTCAAAGCCTGTCATTATTTCTTTCCCACAGGCTCGCGCATCCACCCTTCCCCTATGACAGCTGACTCTGAGTTTGGTTTGGTAATGTTCATAGATTTTTGAAATCAGAGGAGAGTGTCCAAGTGTCGCAAACAAGGTGCAGATTGTTTAAAAAAAAAGAAAAAGTCAAATCAATTTGTTTCATGCGAAAGTGTTCCAATTTTGAGATAGATTTAAATGTCACACAATTTCTCCCTTTACTTATTCAAATGCACATCTCCTCCATTGGTTAGATTTGATGAGGGTGTGGTCTCACTTAAGAGCAGTTGACATAGCCCTCACTGGCAATGGGCTTTAACAAGGATGCGGTCTGTGTAGGAACAGAGAAAAAGTGTTCCGAGGGGGGAAAAAACAAGAATCAGAAGGTTTGAAATGTTTTGAGTTGGTGCGATGTGCTCTCCGGAGCGCTTCCGATCAGCGTGGGGCATAAGGAGTGAGCAGAACCGGTGTTCTCTTCTGTTCACAGCAGCAACCAGTAGATTCTGAGCATCAGGTGAACATTTCATATAGTAGCTGTAGCCTGCTTCTTCTTCTTTTACCCCGGGCTTCTATACACTCCACTTTAACCACAGGGCAGATGGGACGCAGAAAAACAACTATGACCAAAGAATCCGCGCCCTGACGCGCTCCGGTGCGTGCATGCTGGACCGGTGAGTGTGTGGACTAGTATGAAGCGCCATGGCTTGGTGTGACCGCGGGGTTCAAACGCTGTTGGCCACTGTGGGGGCTTTCGCTGCCTTTAGCCTGATGACCATCGCCATCGGCACGGACTACTGGCTCTATTCTCGGGCATACATCTGCAACGGCACTAATGCCACCACAGACGAGACACAACCACAACCCAAAAGTAAGAAGGGCGATCTCACCCACTCTGGGCTGTGGAGAATCTGCTGTATCGAGGGTAAGCTCTGCTCACTTTGTGGATTTAACTGTGCTCATGTTTGAGAAAAACACGCCGGGTTTCTAGTGAAATGTTGTTAAAAATATAGCACATTTTATTCTCCTAGAAACTATTTTTTGGGGGTTTTTTTTTCGTATGAACCTTTTGCTTCCCAGTGTGTACAATCAGTCTCAGTCTGAGCGCACAAAGGACGCCTTCCCTTTACGCATGCCAAGTGTCTCTTTCTGGAGATGGGCACGCAATGAGAAAGAGATCACACACGCGGAACAACTTTCAGGTGATAAAGAATGAGACAGAAAAAACAAATATGCACACATTTACAGATTTGAGGGGCATAAAAACGGGAAAGAAACCGGCGTTGCCCCGCTGTACACGCTCTTCTCGAGCTGTCTGCCAACTGTTACATCTCATTGTTCAAGCGCAGGCCCACACAGTCAACTCGGCTGAATAGTCTGCAAACGAATATGATGCCAAGACGGCGCGTCTGAGCCCATTCACTTTTAAGCTGGCAGGAAATGTGCGCGCTATCAGTCTACTTTCATTCATGTCTTCATTGTATCCGTTGCTGTTGCTTGGCAACATCCCTGAAATTGCTATGGAAACATGCCCGGTGATTTAAAAATAGATGACTCTGAGTTCACGTCATGTCCGAGCAAAAAAAGAAAAAAAAACTTATTTGTTGTTATAGAGCATCAGGTAAACAATATGTTTTTCACAAGCTCAACCTTCCCGAATGTGTTTTGAGGGGTTTCTTTTTTTTTCTCCTCCCCTGCTCCCCCTTTTTCTGATTACATGTTCGATAAGGAGGTGCGCTGGCAGTGACGTCTTATTTCGGAGGCAGACAGGCACTCATTCATTGACCAATCTTCCTTCCGACCACCTCTTGACTTCTTGCCTCAGAGAGTGGCTTCAACTGATCGATTTGCTTATGGCACAGACGTCTGTTATGACGCAGTGATTGATAGAAGACAGTTTGAAGCAAAACGAGCAGAAAAATAAATAAAACACAGAAGAATAAATGACAAAGGGGGCTACACCTGATCTTAGCGTTCCCCCACCTTCCGAATCCCACTTTAACAACTGTTTATATATATTGGATTTCATTCTATATAGAAGTACAGGATACATCTCCTGGTGTATGTTTTTCTTTTCTTGACTTTTTTTTTTTTGAGGACACTTGTATCAGAAAAAAAGAAAACACAGTTCTGTATACAATGCCTGTGCAGCCTATGTAAAATCAGCTGGTGTCAGAATCAGTGCTTTTCCATTTCTGCAGTTCTGTTGATTATGAGCCTGTTTTGAATCACATTTCCTGGAGCTAATGTCATCAGAGGCCACATATCGGGAAGGATTGAGCTGTCGTCATTGATTTGACTGTTCTGGGCTCACGCTGGGTGAAGGTGGACGGCTCGGAGAGGAGAACATCCTCGTTTGTTACGAGTAGATAGTTTCACTTCTGTGCTTCTGCCTAAAACTACAAGCTGGAGGCTCTGTTGTCATGGAGACTCATAAGTGTAGAGGAGAACACAAGCGAGGAAGTCCCCCCCACCACCACCACCACTTCTACCACCTTCACCATTACTCCAACCACAAATGTACACACACCCCTCTGGCCATAAAGACAAACAGACTGGGTTATTGACGGGGACGCCTCTGTGTGTATCACAGCTTCTGGAGAAAACATCATCACATTTTGCTGAACAGATTACAGCAACAGCATGTCTTTCTCTCAGTCACATCAAATCTCTGGAACACAGCAGCTGTTAAGCCCCATTTTTTTTCCTTCCCAGAATCCAGTGATGAATGTGTTTAACATTTCTGGACACTCTTCTTTCTTTTCTTTTCTTTTTTTTTTTTACCTCCTCTCTCTCTGTCTCAGCAGGCCTGAATGACAATTAAGGAGTAGGCAGGAATATATAAAATGAGTCTACTTTATCGGAAGGTCATTATTTCCCTCCTCTGTGGAGTCTTTTGCATTTCACAGCCGGTGTTTTGACTTCTTTTCCCCTTTAATGTTTGTTTTCCCACATGAATATTGTAAGGCCACGGAGTGCACCTCATTTGCAACAGAATCGGCAAGCATCAGAGACTATTGCTTGTGACTCTAGTAAATACAACCAGCTTTTTAAAACGAGAAATAACCTAATGAACAATCCAATTACCAGGTACATATTTGCAGTAAACGTCCCAGCTGGTGGCGGATTGGTGTGAGTCGGGAGGCAGCTGTTTTTCTTGAGGGTCAGTGGGAGCGCTAGTTTAGGTTGTGTGGGGGTCACTTTGCTATTCTTGCCATTTTCTAAGAGTCTGTAATTAAAATGTAACAACTGAGAAGTCGTGAAGGGGCACTAATTAGCCAGCAGGGCCCAACTTCTAACACCAGTCATGCCATGCTCTGTTCCTCAGGTTGATGCGATGTTTTCCTCTGTTTTATAGGTTTAAGTCCTCAGTTCTCCTCATTCTGTTCTGTGTTATTGCACTTAGCTCTTTGTTACTTCGATAGTTTCCACAGATCCACGGTTTATGTCACTGTGAAGGTTCTCAGTTATCCAGGTCATTGTAGTCAAAGGAGCTTGCAAAGCAACTAAAGAAGTCCAGACGTTTTTCTTTGCAAGCTCCTTTGACCACGGTTTATGTCATTGGGACCAAGAAAAATCTTTGCCATCAGCCTGTGAAATGTGAATATTTGCTTGTTCATCAGTTTAAAAAAGCAGTTTTTTGACTTTAGAAAATTACTGACAGATACCTTTTCTAAACTTACTTCTGTTATTGAAGATAGTTAGCATCAGATCCACTGATAATGAAATGAATTGTAGTTTTATGGAATAGTGCGCCTTTGCTCATCTCATATTTAGGGTCTAGGGGCTGGTGTCTTCTAGATGAAGCTCATAAAGTGGTGATTTTGAAACCTCTGCAAAAACAGCTGATGAAAAACAGTTGATGATTAATCTAAGTTGATCTCTTCAAACCTTTAAATCCCACACCCTCGTCTTTGTGCTGTACACAACCGCCACTGCAAATTAGCGGACTTAAAAAAATTTTTGGTGCCTTTGTTGCGATAGGAACTTAAATAAAAGACAGGAAAGGTGCAAGAAAGAGCAGGGCAAAAATGATCTCAGGGCAGATTTGAACCCAGGCCTCTAGAGCTACAGTACCATCACCTGTTTCCAAGACTGGAGAGGATTGTCAGAAGTGTCATTTTTCTGTGTTGGCAATCACATGTGGGATGGCAATTTATGTTTGGCCCACATCTGCAGTTCTCTTATGCTTCTCTCACAGCTTGTGTTGACTGACAGTGCTGACTCAGGATGAGTCACAGCCACAGGTCTCCATTATATGGGCCGGATGTCAGGTGGGCATCTGGCCCACAAAACAGTTTCTGTAACCCAAGGAAGGCCATCCTCAAAACTGAGTGTCCAAAGTAGCCCAGATTAAGCCAGAAAAGTGTCTGCACCTTTTCCTCCTGCCTGTGTACTAACCCGAGACTGTCTGCACGGTGTGCCTTTGCGTTTAGTCTGCACATTTTGTTTCTGTAGCACATTTAAAATCCAAGCGTTTTACAATAAAAACAAAAGAGCTTCTAAAACTCGTCTACTCCTCTACTTACATCCACATCATTCATGTAACATAACACAACAATAAAGCCTTCAGGTTTCTGAAGGCTTTTCAAAGAAAGGCATATCTTTAGCTTAGATTCAAAGACAGTTACATGTTTATCTGATGTCAAGTTTTATTTTGCTGTTTTTACTGCCTGCACGTTTTTCCAGTGTTTTTAATCATCTGTGTTAAGCACACTAAGTTTACTTATAATAAAAAATTGGTATAAATAAAATTTGCATTGGAATTTCCACTTCAGAGGCAATCGGAGCAGCAAAGACTCTCTTGAAACAATGGCAGGATGGTCAGGAGTGATTGGGAAGCAGACCTTAATGATCTTGAAGGAGTGTGTGGACCCAGTCTAACTACCACATATACAGGTGCAAGATTGTTTAAGGCTTTTAATAAAAACAGTGATGCTTTTTGTTGGATTCTGTTCCTGTGACATTTTGGAATAATTGTTAATGTGCAAGAGATGATTGACCAACTACAGCATACAGTGCTTGGCAGCAGTCCAATCTAGATGTAACAAAAGAAGCAATTTTAACCTTGTAATTCTTGAAAAGGATGAAGAGGTGTTTTTTAACTCCTTCTGACAAGATCTAGATTTACTGTTGTGGTCAAACACCTAAAAAACCTTAAAATATAGATGACAAAACTTACTGGCTTACCCTTGTGCAAAGATTTATCCTGTGGTTTGGGATTACACTGGCTCTGCAAGTGATGGAACATATCATGTTGCTGACATAATCAGTCTCATAAAGTGGCGTCTTTCTGTCATTTGCACAGGGCTCTTTAAGTTATTGCTCCTCACAGCCTTATTCACACACACAGTACCAACAGCACCTCTAATGAGTGAAGCCACATCACACAATGTATCTGTGCATACACATTAGTAAACTTTGATAAATTGATCAGACACTTATTAAAATGTAGCTCATAAACTATGACTCTGTGTGAGTCACCTGCCTGAAGTTACAGCCACAATGTTATTTGCTTTCAGATCCTGATCAAGTCTATCTCTGGGGATAATTTATCATAAGTAATTAATGAAGTAACCACTGCTGTGCTCCAAGCGTAAAAGCCAGCAACTCTCTCATTTTGGTGAGCAAATGGGTTGTGGTGCTGTCGCTGTGCTGCAGGTAGAGTCAGCAGTGAGTTACTCTGTTTCTTAACAGTCAGTCTGCAACAAAGTAAAGACTTTGTAACATCAAATCTTCGGTGTATATAGATGTAAAACTGTAGAGGGAAAATTCAACATTCATGAAAAGCGTTTGGTCATTTTGGAGAAACCAGTGTGTCCCCGCAGCAAGGAAAGGCACATGTTTTTCACCTATGTGATGTTTATATACTGAAGCTGCTGCTGTAATATAGTTGTTTTTTTTTAGAGTGGGTTGTTTGTCACC